GAATGTTTTGCAGAAATGTCTCTTGCAACACTTGTCCATGAAGGCTGTCATCTATGCTACCCACCAATTAGAATTTTTAGAAGCAGCTGACCTTGTCTTGGTAAGTTGTTGGATTTCTTTTGCTGCTCTACTCATATACTAACGTGTTTTGTCAAGTCTCTTATTTCTCCAGTCCAATTCTATTGTCAATAGGTAATTAAAGATGGTCAAATTGCTGAGTCTGGAAAATATGAGGATTTGATTGCGGATCCCAATGGTGAACTTGTCAGACAAATGTCGGCGCATAAAAAATCATTTGACCAAGTTAACACATGCCGACAAGATGATTCCTTTAATAGAAGACCTCATCAAGTTAATCTAATGGAGGTTTTAGAAGAAAAAGAGGCCATCAACAATGGGAAGCTTTCAGGACAAGGTCATGAAGAAGAGGCAGAAACTGGTCGAGTGAAATGGCGTGTTTACTCAACCTTTGTCACTTCTGCTTATAGAGGTGCTCTTGTTCCGGTCATCCTTCTCTGTCAAGTCTTCTTCCAGGGACTACAAATGGGGAGTAATTACTGGATGGCTTGGGCAACAGAGAAAGAACACAAGGTCAGCAAAGAGCGGTTGATGTGGGTATTTGGTCTGTTATCTGCTGGGAGTTCCATCTTCATTTTGGGAAGGGCCCTTTTTCTGTCAACTATTGCTATTCAGACTGCTCAGCGTCTCTTCCTTGGAATGATTACTTCAGTTTTCCGAGCACCAATTTCATTTTTCGACTCCACGCCTTCTAGTCGAATCCTCAATAGGGTCAGTTCTAAATTTCTTTCCTGTTTGAAAGTTTAATAAATTTTAACTCTGTGAAGTATATGTCAAGTTCTACTAGCTAACTCTTATTTTTCTTTCTGAAAAAATTACAATGGTTACAGTGTTCTACGGATCAAAGCACAGTAGACATGGATATTCCATATAGATTAGCTGGATTGGCATTTGCCCTCATCCAGCTAATAAGCATCATCATCCTTATGTCTCAAGTGGCCTGGCAAGTCTTCATTCTTTTCCTTGGCGTTCTTGCACTCTCCATGTGGTATCAAGTAAGAAAAACCCCATTTCGAATTTATTTTTCCATGTTTTTGATTGTAACCAAACTCCATCTACCTACAAGGAAATCTAAACCATATTTCCCTACATGCATCACGCATTGTAAAGAATATTATGGGTTATTGTTTTTTTCAAAATGAGAAAGTTAATGTTTCTTCGAGCGCATATTTAAGTACTTTGGTGCACAGGTATTTATCTTGTTTTATATTTTTTGCAGGCTTACTACATTACCACAGCCAGAGAGCTTGCCAGGATGGTTGGAATTCGAAAGGCTCCAATTCTACATCACTTTTCAGAATCAATCACAGGTGCAGGAACACTTCGTTGTTTCAATCAAGGAGACCGTTTTTTGATGAAAACAATGGACCTGATTGATGATTATTCCCGCGTTGCCTTTCACAATTATGCCACGATGGAATGGCTGTCTGTTCGGACCAATTTTCTGTTCAACCTTGTTTTCTTCCTTCTTCTTATCATCTTGGTCAGCCTGCCTAGGTCTGCTATCGATCCTAGTAAGCCCCTCCAATCCCCGATGAAATATGAGGTAATATGATTATGATCACCATAAGCTTTAAAAGTTAACTGTCTATGTTGCTTTGGTCTCAGGTTTGGCAGGATTGGCTGCTACCTATGGTTTAAACCTAAATGTCCTGCAGGCTTGGGTGATATGGAATATGTGTAATGTAGAAAACAAAATGATATCAGTTGAGAGAATTCTTCAGTTCACACATATACCAAGTGAAGCACCACTAGTGATTGAAGACTGTAGACCAGTTCCTGAATGGCCAGTGGCTGGAAAAATTGAACTTGAAAACATTCATGTGCAATATAATCCAGCTCTCCCGACTGTTCTCAAAGGGATCACTTGCACCTTCCCTGGAGGGAAGAAAATAGGAGTTGTGGGCAGGACAGGGAGTGGAAAGTCCACTTTGATCCAAGCTCTCTTTAGGATTGTGGAACCCTCAGGAGGGCAGATTCTTATTGATGGTGTGGATATTTCTAAAATAGGCCTGCAGGACTTAAGGTCAAGGTTGAGCATTATTCCACAAGACCCAATTTTATTTCAAGGTACCATGAGGACCAATCTGGATCCTTTGCAACAGCATTCTGATCAAGAACTCTGGGAGGTTAGGGTCAAAGTCCTTATTTACAAGAATGATATTGTGGTAATGTTACTTATATGATTCAATAACTCAGGTTCTGAATCAATGTCGACTGGCAGAGATCGTTAGGCAGGACCAAAGGCTTCTTGATGCACCTGGTATGAAGATCGAAAAATCTACTCAATATATAAGCAACCAAAGAAGTTCAGTTATTATTTTTTTGTCTCATTCACCAACTTGTTTAATTCGTTCAAACACTGTAACAGTTGCTGAAGATGGAGAAAACTGGAGTGTTGGACAGAGGCAGCTTGTTTGCCTCGCCAGAGTGCTCTTAAAGAAAAGGAAAATTCTTGTGTTGGATGAGGCTACAGCTTCTATTGATTCCGCAACCGATATTCTAATTCAGGAGACAATAAGGAAAGAAACGAGTGGATGCACAGTGATCACTGTGGCTCACCGGATTCCTACGGTTATCGACAATGACCTGGTTCTAGTTCTTGGTGAAGGTATTGTTAGTATAACCTGCTTTGTAGATATATTCCAAAATGGATAGAACACTTTAGCAGATAGTATAGTTGAAGCGTATTAATATTGAAACCTTGATCTAGTGGCAAAGAAAAATCTGAAATAACATTTACGGTTAATTGAAAAACTTAAAATTGCTTAGGTGACATGAATTGAACTGATTTTATTAACTTTTGATTAATACAGGGAAGGTTTTAGAGTATGATTCTCCAACTCGGTTACTTGAGGATAGTTCCTCTGCATTCTCCAAATTGGTGGCGGAATTCTTGAGGAGATCTTCCATGAGCAACTGCTATAGAGATCCTTCTTAAATATTTGGTACAGAATGTGCATGAACCTCAATTACTTCAATCACTGTTTAGAGTTCACACTCTTTCTGCACAGTCCTATGTCCTTAGGTTATCATGCTGATCCATGCAAGGGGCATGATCCCATGTTGTTTGATCAGATATGGCTTCAGCCCATTCAGAAAAAAAAAGATTTGCCTTGGTTGAACATAAAATATATGGATGCCTAAAGGCTCGGGAATTTATGAGTAGACATTTCCGCGGTGCATAACGTTCATGAATATAGGATGTGGAAGTATAGGTGCTATGAATGATGTTGCACTTGGTTCAAGTTGTCATGTGACATCCCAAATGTTTAAGTTTATGAGCGAAGGATGAGATTCTGCAAAATCAAAGAAAGTGCTATAAAAAAAGGTCCTCACATGGTCAGTGAAGGTGCACAACTGATAGAAGTTGAAACTCCTGAAGAAGTTACTTCTTGGATGGCTCAGACAACAGAGTAACTGCTGGCCACTCTTTTGTGCATGCCCAACCGATGTCTCAATGTCTCTAATGGTGCAAGATCAGTTCCTACCCCTACCTGTGTCGACTTCAGAAGTAAGGCAACAAACTTGGAAACATGTCTATTAGACCTGCTGATGTTACTGTACCATTTCCAGTAAAACTTGAGAGCCATTTAATGGAGCTCGTTTCATGAAGATTGAAGTCCTAGAATTATGGGATTGTAGAACAAAGTGGTAATTCATTTCTCTGGTTGTAAAGGGATGCCTGAAGCTGGCGCGAGAAGAAGTTGATGGCTAAAATAAACCCAAAGCAGATCTGGTTGTACTTGTACATATGCATTATGCATTCACGATGGAATTGTTTAAATTTGGGAAATGTCTTAAATTCCTACTAATGTAGCATTTTCAAGGTTTTATAATTATTCATAGGGTATTGCTAATACTCTGTCTTCGTTTTCCATTGAAAAGTAAAGCATCTTTGGCAAATCTCTTAAAATAGTGTTTTGTATGAGGCATGAGCTTAAACTAAGGCCTTGTTTGGTAGGCTGGCCTGGACAGGTTAGGATTGACTTGTAAGTACTGGATTGGATTGGCTGGGATTTTAAGTCCAGCGCAGTTCACTTTTGCACCAAACAATGGACTGGATCAGACATTGAATGCAAGAGGGATCTCTGATGCATGTAGAGTTTTTTCTTTTTCAAACTGGAACCAAATGAGAGTTTTTAACTTTTTGGCAGAGATTGAAGAAAGAGGCTCAATTTTTTACAAGAAATATGGAACCCCCCAATAACAAGAGCTGCCTTTGTTGCTGATTGTAGCCTCTGAGTAATAACAATTCCCAGTTTTTGAGACAAGGAAAAAACAAAAAATCTCACAATACCAAACCGAAAAGAGAACCCATGGCATCGAATCTAAACTGAAACTTATATCAAGATCTAACCATTACCCAATCTCATATCAAGATAATAATAAATATCAATTTTTATATTAAAAAAAACGGAAAATTCGATGCAAAAAATCACAACAGTAAGAGAGAGGAGATGAGAGGAGAAAGGAGAGAGAGGATAGAAGAGAGAAGAAGGCAAACCACTAGATAACAGAGTACAGACGATGCGAAGGAGGCGGAGGGAGATGAGGCGCTCAGATTCATTGTAAACCCATGTCTGTCGATGGGTTGGAGTCCCTTGTTATTCTGGATTGGTGTCCAAGAGCCATGTCCAGTCCGTAATGCATTTTAAGCTCACTAAACAACAGACTAGACCCATGTCCATTTTAATTGAAAATATATAGTCCAGTCCAGCCTACCAAACAGGGCCCTAACTTATACCATCAAGTGTAGAGTTCCTTGGCATTGCAGAGTTGCATTTTATTCAATTTCAAACTATATAAATACACAAAATTCTTATCCCAAAAGAAGAAGAGAAAAACCAGCAAAAACACCAAATAAATCCTAAGAAACTAAAGAGAAGATCTCCTCGTTACAGGTCCAAATACACTTGGATTTAAAGAAGTAAAAGCAAGAAGTTCCGGTCACGTTCAAATAATGCCATGTCTTCCTCACTTAAACTTACCCATGCATCTACTCCATCACCCTCCTTTGTGTCAATCAAAGTAGCAACATTCTTGAGTATATCACCAGGTATGCTCACCCAAATTGGCTTTCCCCACCCAAAATCAATCTCATACATTCCAAAGGTGCATGCACTTGTACAGATAAAGAAGTTTATGTCATCTCCACTCATAATGTTTCCTATCTCCTTAAAATACTCACAAATGGCTTCAAACACATTGTCCCCTTTCAATCTCTTGGGATGGTTTTCATTAAATTCAACCATCCCTTCCGCAGTCAAGAAACTAATTCCTTGAACTCAATCCCACTCTCCTCCGCCATTGCAGCATAGTAGCCCACAAGGTTCCCAACTGAGGTTGGTGGCAATGGTGGCACAACCCGTTTGCGTATATTTACAGAATGTGACTCCATTGATGACTTTGAAAACCCTGAACTTAGTTTTGATGCATTCATTGCACAACTCCAAATGAGGCTAGTGGCAGCTTCAACTCTTGTAGGTGTCTGCGCACTTCCAAGCTTTGATGAATGTGCCCAAAGTTGGCACATCAGCAAGCTTGTGTGACACGCAAACACCTATTGCCAATCCACCACACTCAAAGAAATGTAGCATCCCTGGGGCTGCTTCAGGGGATCCAATCTCAATGGGGAGGCATGATTTTAGTATGTCGAAATCGGGTTGGTCAAGGAAGGTTGAGATAAGGGTGTTGACTCGAGCTTCAACATAGATAACCCCCTCATCATTGCATTGAATAAAGACGTTATCTTTGATTCTTCCAGCAAGTGGGTAGAAGCTAGTTAAGGCTTCTGAGATTGATTTCTTTAGCTGCTGAGATATTTTCTCTGTTGTAAGTTGTAACCTCATTGGTGGGGTAGCAAAGAACAAGAGGGCCATATCCTACAGGAGCAAGCTGATCCAAAAGGCAGAGCTTGAAGCTTTTAAGTTGGTGAGGAGTTGGAGAAGATGGTTTTATGGTTTCCTTCATGAGGATCTCAATTTTCATCTCCTGGGCCATGTTCTTGTTCCTGCTATATAGGATTGAAATCTAGCTCTTAATTATTACACTTTCTGATCATTGAATTTATAGCAGAAAGACTTGATGTGCGATTTCACATCTTAACATTTCAATGTGGGACAAATACTCTCAACAGTAGCAAAGAACAAGAGGGCCATATCCTACAGGAGCAAGCTGATCCAAAAGGCTTTTAAGTTGGTGAGGAGTTGGAGAAGATGGTTTTATGGTTTCCTTCATGAGGATCTCAATTTTCATCTCCTGGGCCATGTTCTTGTTCCTGCTATATAGGATTGAAATCTAGCTCTTAATTATTACACTTTCTGATCATTGAATTTATAGCAGAAAGACTTGATGTGCGATTTCACATTTGAAATTTTCAACTAATTGAATGGGAAAATTCATATACTGGTGCATCCATAAACCTATAATGAAATGACATGAAAACAAATGCTACCATGTATAATGCATGCTTATTGTTTACCAATTACCAGTAATAGTAGATAGCACAGAAAAGAAAATTGATTCACTGTTAAATGCTACCATGTATAATGCATGCTCATTGTTTATTAAATTGCACGCATACCATGGGATCCTTGTCTGTAAATGCTGTGATTTTAAACATGTTGCAGGACAGGCTTGCTGGATATTGTCAAGGCAGCCAACATTTCTAGCCCTGAGTTCAATCTTATTTATTCATTATGTTGCATTTCATTCAAAACATTTTTTGTGAAAATTTCATCGAAACTTTTTAACTCTATTCTAGTTTAAACTTTGAGGATCTAAGATGTTGGTTTGTATCTCCGTTCTTTGTTAATTACTTTAAATAATCTTTTGGCCATTAAAACATTACGATGGTGATTGTGTCATGTGTGATTGTGTGCGTGCTCACCCTTAATTTCTCTCCCTCCCATCACAACTCACAACGGGCGTGCTTGCTGTTGCGTAGATTTAGCTCCACCAAAATGGATTAAGCTGCATCCTCAACTTGTGATACTCGCAAGTGCACGAACCGTGTGGAAGGCAGACGGCCTCAGCAACTCCAATACCTTGGCGAAGTGGAGTTTTCTCCAAACGACATGTTCATAGATGATCTCTATCTGGAAAACCTAAGCGACTACTTATGTGGCGAACCTGTCAACAAAGAACGTGAAGTGCTTTTCCTAGGGCTAAAACTTCTAGGGCTCGTTTGTTACACAGGACTGTCTTGGCATGGACTATGCTTAAGAACTGTCTTGACTTGGCTTGGCTTGGTCTAAATTAGATAACACTTATCCTGCGTTTGGTGTATGCTTGGACTAGGACTAGGACTAGATTTTTTTATTGGGAGCTTTAGTAGTATACCCAAAATAGGGGTTGAAATTATAAAAAAACCCCACATGGAATGCACTTTAGAAACATACCCAAAAACCATTTACTACATAAGAAATGAGTGTTGAAGTTCCTAAAATTACATGACTGCCATTGATTAACTTAAAACAAGCCCAACACAAAAAACTCAAAAAACACCCAAAACAAGCCCAGCAAGCCCGAAGTACATTGTTAATACCATATCATAGAAGTACATTGTTAATACCATGTCATAGAAATACATTGTTAATACCATTTCATACAAAAATTCAAAAAAAAAAAAAAACCAAAAAAGCCCAGCAAGCCCGAAGTACATTGTTAATACCATATCATAGAA